CTCTCCCGGAGCTGCGGATTCAGTGCCGTCCTTTGAAATAAATTCTTCTCGGGGGAGGGGCAGCATCATCTTTCTTTTGCAGATGAAAGCTTTAGTCACTTGTGCCCAGTCACCCATCTAGCAAGCTGTCAGAATTGGAAGTTAAACTTGGTGTGTCCTTAACCATCAAGCCATGTCTACTTAGGACTGCTTCCAGGACCAGCAGGTCTACCTTATCTTTTCTTTCTGCACTGTGATTCTCACATTCCCCAAATATGTTAAGCATGACCATTGATAAGTGTACCTATTGAGAGGGCTAACAAGGTGTCTCTAGATAAGTGCAGACTGCTAACAATAACTGCGATCACACTGTAGCCTCAGACTGACTGTCACTTGGACACGGGGCCTTCACTCAGTCAGTGATGGGTCAAGAGGACTGAGGCACTCACAGCCAGAGTGGCAGGCAAAAGCCCTGCCTCCACCCGTCTCCGTCCAACTGCCACCTTCTGACCCTTCCTGCCTCTGCAGGGCTTACAGGGGTTTGGGGATGATACAGGTGAGCAGGGGATGATGGCTGGTGCTTGGGCTTGGGGCCTGGGTACCAAGTTGAGTGTGTGTGTGTGTCTACCGATCAGGAGCAAAGTAGGAGACATTCTCCCACTTCCCTCATCTCTTTGCTGACAAGTGCTTGAAGTACTACTTCATGAGCATCACATGTCACAGGTGGGGAAACACACCGACACTGACACAGACTTCACTGCATAAACATTAAGAAGCTCCCTCAACAACAAAGCCCATAGGAAAGAAACACACCCGCCTGTGTGATCATGAGGTGTCGATGGGATAAGGTATCAGGCATCAGAAGACCCAAAATCAAACAAATATATTGATGCAAATAATGGGGGTTGGCGAGGTGACCCAAAGCCTATCTGTAGACAATTGGACATCCCCTCACAGAAGGGTCACAAGGAAAGAACGAGGCAGCCAGGGCGCCACAGTATAGCACCGATGGAGCTGGTCCGCTAGGTCTTTAATGCTGCCCCCACCCCCACTAGCACGACCCCAGTTCTACCATACAGATCCGCCTAGACCAGAGCATGTGCACTGCTACAGATAGGAGCTCTCGACTGACACAGGGAGTCCAGGATAGATAAGCCCTCCAGGAACAGTAATGGGAGTAGCGATACCACAAGGGTAGGGGGGACGGTGGGGGTGAAGGGGGAGTAACAGGGAACTGATTACAATGATGGATGCAGAACCCCTCCCCCAGCCCCACCACCTCCCCAGGGGGACGAACAACAGTAACATGGGCAAAGGGAGACAGTAGACAGTGTAAGATATGAAAATAATAATAAGTTATAATTTATCATGAAGGTGGGGGCGTGGGAGGAGGGTAAAAATGAGGAGCTGATACCAAGGACTCAAACAAAGATATTTTGAAAATGGTGGCAACATATGAACAAATGTGTTTGATACAATGTATGGATTGTTATAAGAGCTGTAAAGCCCCCAATAAAATGATTTA